AAAAAAAAAAAAAAAAAGAGAAAATTTGATCGCCAGGCCCTAGCCACCCCTTCTCGCCAGCACGCGAAGCCACCGCGAGGAGCACCAGCGACGCCCATCCCTCCGCACGCGAACGATCCTCAACCAAGCTTGCCTTCGTTTGATCGAATCCCGAACAACAAGCCTCAGTTTACCACCCCATTCACGCCCACAGTCACCGGAGCCCGCGACGAGCCGCGCGATAGCCGCCGAGGAGCCTTGCCGGTGGCTATCGATATATGATGTTATACGTTAATCCTTGGAGGTTGTTATGTGTTATTGGTACTTTAAATGTTATATTATGTAAATTTGTATTGTGATCTATTCGGTTTATTGAAGAAACCGATTGATCAGGTTTGATTTCGTGAATATCTTGTGGATTATGGAACTTGGGTCTGTCCTTGGTCTAATGGTGAAGACCTTGGGTGCTTTTGATGTGTACTAATCGAGTTATCAATTTTTAAAGTCGAGTCTGCTGAATCTTAGAAAAATCATTAAAAATCAAATACTAGGCCATTTTATATGAAATTTGAATGAATGAACTCTTTATTGTTATGTCTCTGGTGTAAAAATGTCAGATTAAAACTCGCATGTTTGCTATGTGAACTGAGTAATTGTTGTTTTGGGTTGTTTCTGTTCATATAAAATCGTGTAATTGCTAAAATGTGTTGAACTTCTAAGATTATGAATCTTCCAGGGTGCTTGTCATTGTATAAAAATTTCAAATGAAAACTCGAACCCTAGCCTATTAAACCGGAAAACATTCATTTTGTTCTCATTTTTGCAAAAATTGTTGAACTGGTTAGGAGTTGATTAAAGGGTCATCCTCTGGTATGTTGATGTCTTTTTGAATCCTTTATATGTTGTTAAAATTTCAAGTCATTGCCCCTAGCCTTGTCTTGTTACGTTTGATATTCATTTAAGTATTGAGTTTTGAAAACCCTATTTAGAACCTTCGAACTGTTTGTTGTTCGTCGCTGTATTTGACCTTTGAAACTCGACCAAACGTTTTTCGAGCAAAAATCATGTGATTATTCCAACCCCACAAATTCCACGAATCTCGTAGTCGATGATGTTTGACAAGTATGAGTTTTCGTGAATTATTCGAAGTGTCAGGATAGCATGTTGATAGGACTATCTTGATATAATGTAGTTGTTTGACTAACCGTTCTCTCACCCTATCAGCAGATTCGTGCTATTTTCATCCTGCTGTTTCCAGGTGGGTTTATTTAAATATCTATGTCGTAAGTGAGTTATATTTGTTTGGGTGGTGTGATCAATGTATGCATGTGAACCATGTAATCTTCGATGCGAGCTGTTTTGGCCGTCGAACGGTTATCCCCGTCGATGTAATATGGGCCTAATGAGAGGTAGTCTCCCTAAGACCTAATGACAGGCCATGTCGTTGTAAGACCCATGACGAAGCCTTCGACATGTACTCCTACTGTTTGGGTTGTCGATGTAAGTCCCATGGCGAGGCTTTCGACAAATAATCAGACCATCAGTAGCTAATGATAGATGTACACATGAGTATTATGATGATTAGGAGATGGGATATATGATTGATTCGTGTTCAAGCTGCGACCATGCCTACCTGTCTATCTGTATACGTGATTTATATGCATAGTAGTGAGCAAGTGGTTGTGCTCACGCCCATGCCCCCCTCCCCTCCCCCCCATCCTCCCCCATTTTAGGTTAAGCAGGTGGCTAGTACGACAGGCGAAGACGAGTGGTGGTCAATCACATGTTGGCATTGACCATTTTATGAATGCTTTCGCTTTATATTGAACTCTGTTCATTGATATATTTGATGTTTTATTTGATAGACACGATGATACGTCAGATTATAAATGTTTTTGGAAAACCCGATGAGTGGTTTATGATTATGAAACCTGATGATAGGTTTATGGGTAATGATACCTCTATGTTG